TGGTTCTTTGAAAGAATTAACAAGACTGATAAACCCCCGGCCAGACATCAAAAAGAAAAGAGAAATGACCCAAATAAATAAAATCATGAATGAAAGAGGAGAGATCACAACCAACAGCAAAGAAATACAAACTATTATAAGAACATATGAGCAACAATATGCCAGCAAATTAGATAATCCGGAAGAAATGGATGCATTCCTAGAGATGTATCAACCACCAAAACTGAACCAGGAAGCAAGAGAAAACCTGAACAGACCTATAACCACTAAGGAAATTGAAGCAGTAATCTAAAATCTCCCAACAAACAAGAGCCCAGGGCCAGATGGCTTCCCAGGGGAATTCTACCAAACATTTAAAGAAGAATTAATCCCTATTCTTCTGAAACTGTTCCAAAAAATAGAAATGGAAGGAAAACTTCCGAACTCATTTTATGAGGCCACCATTACCTTGATTCCAAAATCAGACAAAGACCCCATCAAAAAGGAGAATTACAGACCAATATCCCTGATGAACATGGATGCAAAAATTCTCACCAAAATACTAGCCAACAGGATCCAACAGTACATTAAAAGGATTATTCACCACCACCAAGTGGGATTTATTCCTGAGCTGCAAGATTGGTTCAACATCTGCAAATCAATCAATGTGATACGTTAATAAAAGAAAGAAGAACCATATGATCCTCTCAATAGATGCAGAAAAAGCATTTGACAAAGTACAGCATCCTTTCTTGATTAAAACTCTTCAGAGTGTAGTAGGATAGAGGGGACATACCTCAATATCATAAAAGCCATCTATGAAAAACCCACAGCTGATATCACTCTCAATGGGGAAAAACTGAGAGCTTTCCCCCTAAGGTCAGGAACATAGCAGGGTTGTCCACTATCATCACTACTATTCAACATAGTACTAGAAGTCCTAGCCACAGCAATCAGACAACAAAAAGAAATGAAAGGCATCTGAATCGGCAAAGAAGAAGTCAAACTCTTACTCTTTGCAGATGATATGATACTTTATGTGGAAAACCCAAAAGACTCCACCCCAAAACTGCTAGAACTCATACAGGAATTCAGTAAAGTGGCAGGATATAAAATCAATGCACAGAAATGAGTGGCATTTCTATACACCACCAACAAGACAGAAGAAAGAAAATTAAGGAGTCGATCCCATTTACAGTTGCACCAAAACCATAAGATACTTAGGAATCAATCTAACCAGAGGCAAAGAATCTGTACTCAGAAAACTGTAAAATACTCATGAAAGAAATTGAGGAACACACAAAGAAATGGAAAAACGTTCCATGCTCATCAGCAATCTACACATTTAATGCAATCCCTATCAAAATACCATCAACTTTTTTCAAAGAAATGGAACAAATAATCCTAAAATTTGTATGGAACCAGAAAAGACCTTGAATAACAGGGGAATGTTGAAAAAGCAAAGCAAAGCTGGTGACATCACAATTCCGGACTTCAAGCTCTAATACAAAGCCATAATCATCAAGACAGTATGGTACTGACACAAAAACAGACACATAGATCAATGGAACAGAATAGAGAACCCAGAAATGGACCCTCAACTCTATGGTCAACTAATCTTCAACAAAGCAGGAAAGAATGTCCAATGGAAAAAAGACAGTCTCTTCAACAAATGGAAAATTTGGAAAATTGGGACAGCCACATGCAGAAGAATGAAACGACCATTTTCTTACACCACACACAAAGACAGACTCAAAACGGATGAAAGCCCTATATATGAGACAGGAGTCCATCAAAATCCTAGAGGAGAACACAGGCAGCAACCTCTTCGAACTCAGCCACAGCAACTTCTTCCTAGAAACATGGCTGAAGGCAAGGGAAGAGCAAAAATGAACTATTGGGACTTCATCAAGATAAAAAGCTTTTGCACAGCAAAGGAAACAGTCAACAAAACCAAAAGACAACTGACAGAATGGGAGAAGATATTTGCAAATGACTATCAGATAAAGGGCTAGTATCCAAAATCTATAAAGAACTTATTAAACTCAACACCCAAAGAACAAAGAATCCAATCAAGAAATGGGCAGAAGACATGAACAGACATTTTTCCAAAGACATCCAAATGGCCAACAGACACATGAAAAAGTGCTCAACATTGCTCGTCATCAGGAAAATCCAAATCAAAACCTCAATGAGATACCACCTCACACCAGTAAGAATGGCTAAAATTAACAAGTCAGGAAATGACAGATGTTGGCGGGGATACGGAGAAAGGGGAACCCGCCTACACTATTGGTGGGAATGCAAGTTGGTGCAGCCACTCTGGAAAACAGTATGGAGGTTCCTCAAAAAGTTGAAAATAGTTATCGTACGACCCAGGAATTGCACTACTGGGTATTTACCCCAAAGATACAAATGTAGGATCCGAAGGGGTACATGCACCCCAGTTTATAGCAGCAATGTCCACAATAGCCAAACTATGGAAAGAGCCAAGATGTCCATCAACAGATGAATGGATAAAGAAGATGTGGTATATATATACAATGGAATATTATGCAGCCATCAAAAAAAAAAATAAAATCTTGCCATTTGCAATGATGTGGATGGAACTAGAGGGTATTATGCTAAGCAAAATAAGTCAATCAGAGAAAGACATGTATCATATGATCTCACTGATATGAGGAATTCTTAATCTCAGGAAACAAACTGAGGGTTGCTGGAGTGGTGGGGGGTGGGAGGGATGGGGTGGCTGGGTGATAGACACTGGGGAGGGTTATGTGCTATGGTGAGCGATGTGAACTGTGTAGGACTGTTGAATCACAGACCTGTACCTCTGAAACAAATAATACATTACATGTTAAAAAAAAAAAAAAAGATAGTAGGAAGGGAAAAATGAAGGCGGTGAAATCAGAGGGGGAGACGAACCATGAGAGACTATGGACTCTGAGAAACAAACTGAGGGTTCTAAAGGGGAGGGGTTGGGGGGATGGGTGAGCCTGGTGAGGGGTATTAAAGAGGGCACGTACTGAATGGAGCACTGGGTGTTATACACAAACAATGAATCATGGAACACTACATCAAAAACTAAGGATGTAATGTATGGTGATTAACATAATTAAATTTGAAAAATAAATGGGGGCGCCTGGGTGGCTCAGTCATTAAGCGTCTGCCTTCGGCTCAGGTCATGATCCCAGGGTCCTGGGATCGAGCCCCGCATCGGGCTCCCTGCTCCGCGGGAAGCGTGCTTCTCCTTCTCCCACTCCCCCTGCTTGTGTTCCCTCTCTCGCTCTCTCTCTCTCTGTCAAATAAATAAATAAAATCTTTAAAAAAAAAAAAGAAAAAGAAAAAGAAATGAACAAAACCCCCCAAAATCATTTTTTGCAGGCTGCCTTGACTTTACCTATAGATCAGTGTCAAACTCAAAAAAAAAAATCTATTTAGGCCATGAAGACATTTTAACTCTCAGAAAGATGTCAGGATAAATCTACCATAACGAAGATTTCAAGAAGTGGCTAATGTCATCTGGCAAAAGAAAGGATTGGCTGGGGAGTGGAGAGGTGGGAGAGGGACCTATGTTTTGTTACAAAACTGATTTGCATGAGGTATCCTAGTCCCTAATCAACTTTCCAAAATGGTACATGATCTTATGCCGCATCACTACCTCTCCTGTCATTATTCCTGGTGGAGTAAATAAGCTGTGAACTATAACCCACAAAGATGAGGAATCCTTTTCTCTCTGAAAACTCTGAGAAAGCGGTTATTCTGTCAGTCATTAAGAAAAAATAAGTCAACTCCATTACCAGCATTTGGTCAATCCTGACTATTTCTGCAGAGGCCTCTGGTGTGATTAAAAACAGAAAAAAATGTCAAACTAGATTTCTTAAGAACTTGTGCTAAGATGGTACTGTGATTCTTTTAAAAAATTTGTAAGTGGTTGTTATATTGGAGTCCTAAAAGTGTACACTGATTTTACATTATAAGCCACATCAAAAAAATCATTCTTCACAGGCAATTTTTAAAATAAAACTAAAAAAAATTTTAAACTCAGACTGCTCAATTTGTTGGAAGATGGGTTTTCCCTACATTGTAAACAATATCTATTATTTGCAATATCTATTGTTTGCAAACAATATCTATTGTTTGCAAACCCTCCTAGTTAATGCTTTCATCTTAAAACTCTGTAAGTCGAGTAAAGCGTAGACTAGGCCCGAGGAATTCTTTTTAAAGTTATATTAATATTTAATATCTACTGATAGAATACAGGTATTTTTTTAAAAGCCCTGCTATAATGCAGAGCTATAAGTTTACGAATTAGGTGTAGACAATTGTTTGGTTAATAGTGACAGAGGCTAGGATAGAGGCTATGGGTAAGAGGTTCAAGTTTCCATGGTTTTCAGAGGAAAATGAACGGAATCTAGACATGTTTGTTCTATAGCTTAATAAATCAGCACAGCGTTCCGCAGTGTCTAGCCCAATAACATGAAGAGTGCAGTTCGGCACACTAATAGCAGGAGTGGAAGGGGGCGAAAAGTAACCACCACGGCCCAAGATACCAGGGCTAACTGAAAAGTCATCTTGACACTTCAGTCTACGTTTTGCGGGACTAGAAGCCTCCAGGACCACTCCATCGCGGCTGCCGCCTAGATGGGCCCAACCCAGAGCCAAACAGGCGCTCACCTGCGGGGCGACGGGGCGCATACCTGGCCGGCGGGGGGCGCCCATGTCCCCTCTCCCCACCCGGGCGGATCTGCCCTCCTCCGCCCTTTTTCGCCACCATCTCCACCCCTTTCCCATCCATCTGCATTGAACCAAGGGCAGGGACTGGGGAGGACGAACAGAGTACGGTGAGGAAAACCATTCCCGCAACCCGCCGCACTACTTCCCCCCACCCCACAGCGGGTGCAAAGCCACACCGCCTCTCCTACGCCTCATGTCTCTGGTACAAGGTATGCAACACTTAAAAAAATGTTTTTAATTGCTTTTAAGCACAAGTCACTTCCCCGCTCCCTTCCGCCCCTCACCTTCACGAAAGCAATCGGGGTTGTGGTACCTTCGATATCTAACAGGATCACAGTGACTTCGGCGGGCACGGAAAGCACGACCATTTCCCTACCGGATGCAACTACCGGAATCGGCCTACTGGAAGGAAGGGCGGAGGGCGGCGCACACTGCGCCCCCAGCACAGTCCTGGGCTTCCGACAGCCCCGCAAGAATCTCCCACCCGGCAGCCGCGTGCGTCCCGCAGCACGAGGAACAGGGCCACCTCCGCGCCCCTGAAGGTGGATAAGACGGCCGCACAGGCGCCCTGAACTACCTAGCTGCCTAGGGCCGGAGGCCGAGACCACGTGGGCAGGGAAAAGGGGCGGCCTTCGCGGAGTTCCGAGGGGGTGGGGGGAGGTAAAGGCGTCGACGCCGATTGGCCACCAGAGAGCCTCGAACCCGATCCGTCAAAATGGGCCTCGCGTGGGCGGGAACAAAGAAGCGAACGCGGGAGCCGGGTGCGCGGGCGCGCGCGCCCTCTCCGCAGACTGGTTGAGCGAGCGGGAGAGGCCCGGGGCACGTGCAGACGGGAGCCCCGCGAGTGGCGCGCCGGGGATGTGAGTGCCCCTTGCCCTCTACGGCACCTAGCCCCCTCCCCGCCCACTGCCTCCGCTTTTGCATATTTACAGTAACCTGATCGGGCTCGCGCCCCTCCTCCCGTCCTCAGCCAGCAAAAGAGGCCGTGCCGGGACTGGTTTGCCTGACTGCGTTGGCCCGGGCTCCGGCCGATCGGTTAGGGAGGCCCGCCGCGCCTCCTCGGCCCGCGCGCCTGCCGCGGTAGCGGAAGAGGCACCCGCGCCGCGCCGCTGCCCGGAGGGGCCGCCGCGCGCCCGCTTCCTGTTCGGCTGGTTCCAGCCAGCTCGAGGACAAAACACGCGTGCGCGCGGCAGACGGGCGGGCGGGTGCGCTCGCTGTCTCAGCCGCCGGCGCCGGGCGCAGTCCACCTTTTTCCGGAGCACCCCGGCCACGGTGCTAATCGATAGCAGCAGCCGCCACCGCAGCAGTCCGCACTGGGGGACCGAGGGCTTTGGAAAAAGGCGGGGTTGACGGCTCTTTGCTAGGAGTGGGCTGGACCGGACGCCAGAGACAAAGGCTCTCAAGACAAGAGGGACTGTGGCCCTGCGACGGCGCTGCTCGGGATTTTTGACCCCAGGACTTTTCGCCCCTTCGTTTTTCTCTTCTGACGCTTCTCTCATCTTAAGCCCGCGTCCCCTCACCCACGACCTCGCTCCTCACCGGGAGGGCCGCGATGGAGGTCCCGCCCCGGCTTTCCCATGTGCCGCCGCCATTGTTCCCCTCCGCTCCCGCTACTTTAGCCTCCCGCAGCCTTTCCCATTGGCGGCCGCGGCCGCCACGGCAGCTCGCCCCGCTCCTCCCTTCGCTCGCTCCCAGCTCCGCCCGGCAGGGGGCGCGCCGGGCCCAGCGCCACGTCACCGCCCAGCAGCCCTCCCGATTGGCGGGCGGGGCGGCTATAAAGGGAGGGCGCAGGCGGCGCCCGGATCTCTTCCGCCGCCATTTTAAATCCAGCTCCATACAACGCTCCGCCGCCGCTGCTGCCGCGACCCGGACTGCGCGCCAGCACCACACGGCCGACAACTCCGCCACCATGGAGGATATGAACGAGTACAGCAACATAGAGGAATTCGCAGAGGGATCCAAGATCAACGCGAGCAAGAATCAGCAGGATGACGGGTACCGCACGCTTCTCCTCTCTTCCCCCTCCCCCAGCGCGCCGCACGCGCCCTTCATCCCTCGGGAGCCGCGTGCTGCCCCGGTTCTTGCCCCGGGTCGATTCCCCGCGTGCCCGCTGGGCCGCACTAGCTTGGAGGGAAGAGGAAAGTAGGAGACGGAGGGGGTGCCTCGAGAGGCCCGCGGAAGGTGGGGGAAGGGCGGAGGAGTTGGAGGAGGAGGGCGGCGGCGTCTATGTCCCGAGTGCGCAGGCGCCGCGTGGGGCCCGAGGGGGAGGGGCCGGCCTCGCTGCGCCACATGCTGCAGCTGCCGCCGCCTTTTTATTGTGTCTGTGTTAGGGCCCCCCGCACAGTTTTACTGGGGAGAGTTTAGGGAATTCTTAGTTTGGGAATCAGTGTGTGACTGGTACCCGGATCCCCAGAACGCGTTATGAGTTTTTTAGGTGTAACATAGCCTTGACAGCTGTGGAAGGGGGTGGACCGAAGTTGTGAGGGATCGGGTTAGGAAGTTGGATTTCTAATACTAAATCAATGTAGAACTAACTTGGTTGGCCTCGCTTAAATTTCGTATTATGCAGTATGGTGAGCAAAATGTCCACTGTTTCGAATAAGTGACCTCGATGGAATTTGGGGGGATTTGTGGTCTTTTGTTTATATGTGATGTGTATACACGGATTGAATTACTTGCATATACGGCTAAACGCCCCCCCCCCCAGTTATTTCGTAGTTAAACATAATTCCAGAACTGAAGTAATCCTTGAGGTGCTGCTAATCTTTTTTTAAAAAATAACTTTATTTCTAGTAAAATGTTTATTGGAGGCTTGAGCTGGGATACAAGCAAGAAAGATCTGACTGAATATTTGTCTCGATTTGGGGAAGTTGTAGACTGTACAATTAAAACAGATCCAGTGACTGGAAGATCAAGAGGATTTGGATTTGTGCTTTTCAAAGATGCTGCTAGTGTTGATAAGGTAGGAGCAGGTACTTTGCATTGTGCTGCTTCTGTGTGCTTTTTTTGCAAGTTGGGGGTTTGATTGTATGTTGTCAAATTAAATACATTTGTCTTCTAGGTTTTGGAACTGAAAGAACACAAATTGGATGGCAAATTGATAGACCCCAAAAGGGCCAAAGCTTTAAAAGGGAAAGAACCTCCCAAAAAGGTTTTTGTGGGTGGATTGAGCCCAGATACTTCTGAAGAACAAATTAAAGAATATTTTGGAGCCTTTGGAGAGGTGCGCTGTGTGATTACGTTTATATGTGTTTCATACTTGGTGTGTTTATGTAATGTTAATCCCCAGCTTTTTACAGAACAAATTGATTTGTCAGGTGAGGAAGAAGTTAAATTAACTGTTCAGGTCCCTTCTAGTCACTGTACCTTAATTGCTGTTTTTTCTGCCCTGTGATGGAAATAAACATCTTAATTTGCTTTGGCCAAAACACAGGTGCTTTGGGGTGGTCAGTGTTTGGACTTGACTAGTGGCATCTGTTAGGTACAAAATAATACTAAGTTTTGTTCTCTGCTTCACAGATGAACCTTTGTGGTGCGATGTTGATAATAAAATATGAGTTTTTATACAGAAGCAATCTGACTATAGTAATGTGCAGCATGTTATATTGACGCTTGAACGGGACCGGGGACCTTTGGTGTTGTAATACCTTCTGGTAGTTTTTATCATTGCTGGATGATCTCGAGTGTGCTTCTTGGTTTCAGATTGAAAATATTGAACTTCCCATGGATACAAAAACAAATGAAAGAAGAGGATTTTGTTTTATCACATATACAGACGAAGAGCCAGTAAAGAAATTGTTAGAAAGCCGATACCATCAAATTGGTTCTGGGAAGGTAAAGCCATTTTGCTCTTATTAAATGAAAATTTTAAGGTGGTTTTCTTCAGACGAGATTTCTCAGTTTGTTTTGAGAAGAATAAAATGGCTTGACATTTCAGTAAAAAAGGTGTTTTAATGTGTTTATAGTGTGAAATCAAAGTTGCACAACCCAAAGAGGTATACAGGCAGCAACAGCAACAACAAAAGGGAGGACGAGGTGCTGCAGCTGGTGGACGAGGTGGTACTAGGGGTCGTGGACGAGGTGAGGCTTCATTCTTTGGAACTTAATCCTTTGAAAATGACCCCTTGGTTTAAGCTATAAACTGCTAAATAGGAATAAGCCCATGAGAAAGTAAAGCCAGATTTTCAACATAAAAAATGCTCAAGTTAGTGGATGGGTTTTGGTTACTTAGTTTACTGGTTTCACCTCTTCGAAGAATGGTCCCTCTGACAGTGTCCTTTTTTAATGGGAAAATAATGCCAATTTAATGTAGTTATGATTACATGAAAACACCATGGCATGCTGGGTTTTGGGGGACAGGAGTTCTTGTTTTAAAACTAAACAGCCTACTTGTCTTCACCTTTGTTCTGATTTTTCCATTAAATTTAGGAAACTTGATAATTGGCAAACAAATTGGACTTTCTGCCCCTTTTTGACAACTGGAAAAATAACTTTCTCAAATGACTATATAGATGTTTATTCCACTTGTTTAAGATTTTCAGAGTGAGAGACAGGAACACAACATTTTGTGTTAGGATTGGGGACCGACCAGAAGTTGTTATCTAACAATCATTGTGCATTGTTTCAGGTCAGGGTCAAAACTGGAACCAAGGATTTAATAACTATTATGATCAAGGATATGGAAATTACAATAGTGCCTATGGTGGTGATCAAAACTATAGTGGCTATGGCGGCTATGATTATACTGGGTATAACTATGGGAACTATGGATATGGACAGGGATATGCAGACTACAGTGGTAAGAATATTTAACTTAATTTCATAAACCAATGGTATTAAAATTCCATGTTAAAAGTACAATCCCATTCTGAAATTGTTTGTGTGTGGGTTTTCCGTTCTTGAAGTGTTGGAGTTAAGCTTTTAGGCATTTGATCGTTACCGGGTGATTATACTAATGTAAAAATTTGGGTGGTTAGAAATGTTCTAGAATATGTGATACATGACTAGTTTATAATGCCTATTTAAGATATCTGATAATTTTAACATTTGGCATGCAGAGTTGTACATGTTTAATGGCTTTATAAAGTACTTATAATGAAACCATTTTGTAGAAAACTATCTTAATATAATTTTTGTGTGTTTCCAAACTAGGCCAACAGAGCACTTACGGCAAGGCGTCTCGAGGGGGTGGCAATCACCAAAACAATTACCAGCCATACTAAAGGAGGACGTTGGAGAAAACAGGTGTGTGTACGAGTACAAGAAACCAGTGGAAATGTCTAATTTAATTTAAAGATCAATAGACAAATGAAAAATAAGTAAAAACAATATTACGTAGTCTGTTTTTACTAAATTGTTAACTTTTTAATTGCTTTATGAGCCTGTTTTGCCTAAAGTGTCTATAGATCTTTAACTTTAAAGTCTTATCTCACTTTCTTTAGTACTACAGAAAAACTTAAGAGTTTTTCTGTTTGCTTTGTGTACCAGGTGGTCTAGAGGAATAATTAAACTTTTTTAGAACTATTAACAGGTAAAGTACTGAAATGGGTACAACTTAAGGAAAACAAGAATGTTGTCTTCTAACTCTGACATTATACCTTGTTTGTACCCGCCAGCGGGAACTTCATTGCAGGCCGTGTGTCACCCTGACCACGTCTATCTCTGGGGGTCGCACGTTGCGGGCAGAGCGCAAGGCATACACCAGAAAACGCTGTCCTGTGGTATGGTCTCTTCCAACTTCATGTACCAGCGTAAAGATTAAAGTGGAAAACTTCAGACTTTGGCTTCTTTTTTAATCTTTTTGAAGATTAAGTGTCTAAACTTAACTTAAATGGTTTTTTACAGGAGTTAAAGTACATAAATGCCTTTTTACAGCTTAATCATTTTGGTCTTCTGTTTAGTGTTGTATTTCAATTGTGGAGCCTCATTTTAAGTGTTCATTCTTTAAGATTTAATGCTTGCTTTTTCTTTTTATAGCTAATAGTGAAATCTACAAACCAAAACAAGAACTTTAAAATCTGGGATATAAATTAAAGATCATATGCACACAGAAATTTGTTGTCTTACAATATA